ATTGAGGTTCGGTGTAGAAGGGAGAGGAGGATGTTGCGAGGTTTGCGGAGAGGAGGGCCAGGAGGAGGTGAGAGCGCATTTTGGGCCGTGAGTCCTGTCCCGAGGGGAAGCGATGGGAGAGATGTGTGCTGGGAATTGGCGATATGAAGGACCAAGACAACCGTCAACTTTGGTTGCGGGTTGAGCAACCGAGCTCTGGACTAGCAACACCGCCACACTTGACTTCTCAAATCGTCGAGAATTGAGAGAAGGGAAGGAAAACACAGCAAAGCGTTGGCTAGAGACGGGTGTACACCATTATGTATGCAATCCCACCGAATCCATGTTTGCCGTGTCGGGGCTCATTGCGTGATAGGCATAACTAAGCTCCTGCTCGAGGGCTCTCCATCCTCCTTAGCCGATCCTGCATACTGAGGTAGAGCGTTCCCCCGCCGAGATAGGAGTTTGGTGGGGTTTGTTGATAACGGCATTGGACCCCAGCCTTTGCCGAAGCCGGGTTTGGGAGACCCGGGGATGGGGTTGATCGGTTGGATGTGAACGCGTTTGGCTGAGTGGGTGGACGGAGGTTTGCAGCCGGTGCCGATACGGAGATGTCTGAGGGAGCTCCAATAGGACGGAGAGGTTTTAGAGAGAAGGGGAGCATTGGGCGATGATGTGCTATCGTGCAATCGTCTCGTCGGAGAGATGCCGCGGGCAACTTTGTGGGATTGTGGGACCTTCCTAATCGGAGCGTGGAGGTTTAAGAGGGTGAGGTGATTGGTTGGTTGATGGATGGTGCATGTTAGTTGCGTCGGGTATCGTCCGGTCGGCTATTTCGAAGAGTTGGAAGTTGTGTTTGGGGGATTGATGATGCTCGATTTGTTGGGGAGTGACACAAGGATGATAGGTATTAGGCTCGATAGATGTGATCTACCACTTTTTATTTTTTATTTTTTAGAAATATTGTCTAACCGCAAGCTACAGAGGCTCTGTGTTTGATTTCGTGTTGGTTCGACAAGTTACAACGGCGCCGGCGCCCGGACGGCCGGTTTCGGCGCGGGGTTCCCGGCCGATGTGCGGGGCTCATCGGGATTCATGCCAAGCACCGTTGCGGCTGCCACCGTTGCCCGTGGCTTTGTTCCGCAACTTGCCAATGAGCGGCAGAGAAGTCTACGTTTTTAACATCATTTCGCGACAGGGTTCAATCTCAGAGGCAAGTACATCGCACGAGTTGCCACCCGCAGCCCTTCCTATAAATACCATCGTGTGATTGGGGGATTGTGCTCTTCTCGATATCCTGGACGCCTTTTCCAAGCTAATAGGTGACATCTGAGTGAGGCAGTCAATTACGAAGCAAAGAACATAAGGATTCGGGTCCTTTAGAGAAACCACCAGAAAAACATTGAAGCAGTCGAGTGGGTGATGAGTTACTGCAGTGATGTACGGCTCATCTGCCGTATCGGGAGGCGTTGGAAGCGTACCCAGGAAGGTATAATTTACAGAGGCGACTTCTGTAATTTGGGACTGTGACCATTCCACTAGACTTTTCATCGATGACATATGATAACGGCGTGGCCCAGGAACTGACACTGGCTTCGGACCGCCAACTCTCCAACTGACGACCAGATGTCGGGCCTAATGGCTCGCTCTTCGCCCTGTTAGTGTCGGAAAGAGCAGTCTCCCGTTAGGTACAGCGAGGATATCTTGTGAAAGTTGACGCCGTGGTTCAATAAACACGGCGCTCTAAGTCAGCGGCGTAGTACGTCCCCCCGGGTTTTGGAATTCCTATTCTAGCATCCCAGCTGCCGTCGTTGGAGGTCAGAGAAGCTGGAGTCCTCCGTGGTTGGAGCTGGTTATTCCCCTGGTGAACTCTGTCGCCGGATGGTAAGTCGGAGTCCAAGACCTCATTTGCCGAGCTCATCGCTTCAACATTTCCAAAGGAATCGACAGCAGGAGGCGTGTAAAAGTTTCCTTTATTTTGTAGGTCCATTGAGACAGAGTCCCAGGCTGGCGTGCCATCGCTAGGCATTGGAGGTTTCTTTCGAGAACCCGAACTACTCACCCCGGTGGGTATGGCTGATGGCCGTCGTCTACGCTCTGTGAGATCTTCGAACCGGTCGTTTGGTTAGGTCCCGCCGCCGTCACGGCCTTTGCAGGATGTCGGTTCCTTGTCGTTGCCCAGGCGGGTTCTGGCTGGTCCGGGTTGCCAAGACTCCCCAGCCAGTCCGAAGCTCCAGGCCGGTAGGGCTGCGACAGCTGATGACTCGACGGTTGCGGACGGGCAGAAAGAAGAGATGGGAATCGACGTCAATCGCCGATGGTGGAGGTGCAGGCTATGTGATGGACGGGATCTGCGGAACAGAGTGACTGCAATTTCGAATTCGTTCCGCCCGCGTCGCGCCCTCGTCTGAATAACTTCCCAGCGTGGGCCTGCCTGTTGCCCGACTTCGACGCGGCTACGTCGGCCGTTGATAGTGTCCGATATACCGGAGAGTCATGGGATGGCTACCCGTCCCGTCTTGATCAAAGTTTCAACTGCCGCCCCTCTCCGATAGTTTATGTTTCGTTTCGGACGGATGCCGCAGAGAAGGGGTGTATGGATAAGTTGGGGGTTTACCAAATTTCTCTCGAGCTTGGCACTAGAGTTTTTAAACTTCTCCCACCGGGCTTTGCCCACGCGGACTGCCCCGTACATACTATCCGCAGCAAAGTGCCCAGCCGGCCGGATGCAACAAAGCTCTCTCTGGGCGTTTACTAGCAGCGATCAGCAATGCGGGAACTTGTTTTTTTGGCAAGGGCGAGCTCTTTCTATCAGTTTTGATTGTTCTCTTTTTAAAGTTTCGACTCCCCCGCGAAATGACTTGCAGCTGTGGATTCCCGCGATGTTTACTTGCCTTACGCACCCCTGGCTCTTGGCCGATCGTCGTAAGCGGTGATCTTTTTGGTGGGGTTTTTTGAACGACTTGTGATGACTTCACATCAGACCACACTAAACCATTTCAAAAATGTCGCCAGATCGGACGTTGATTGTGTTGTGCATCTGGTCTGAAAGAGGAAAGTTACACGTGGTGGTTTAGTAGATGGTGGGGTGGAAGTTGAGACGTTGGAAAAGCCGACTCGGTAAACCTACGACAAAATTTAGCTGACAAATTACGCAAGAAGGATTAAATCAGACGAGGGGGGACACAACAGAATCGAAGAGCGAGTTGTCTTCGTATTCCCCGGATTCGGACATTGTCGCCAGGAACCGACATAGACATAACGTTTCATGTCACGACGGAGACTGTCACGATTACGTCGCTGCGAGAGGGAGGGTATAATGGGTGAAGAATAAGTATTGAACATTGAAGTGTGTGAAACTTTGTACAAGAACATGCAAATCCCAGGATTTTGTTGGGGTCAAGCGCCTGGTGTGAAACTTTGGGAGATCCGTTTCCGAGTCATCTCGTCTTTCTCTCGTCCCTTCCGTCTCGTCTCAAAAGGCTGACCGGGTATCAGATGCGAGTCCGACTGTCTACTCTAAAACTCTAAATTCCACTTTAGAAGCGCTTGCGAAGAGCCCGCTTGGCGTTGCGCTTGCAAGGGGCCTAAAGAATGGTAAGGTTAGCTGAATATGAACCACTTGCAACTGTTTCAATCCGAACTCTACTCTGATGACAAAAGAGCCTCAAAGAGATGGGACGTTGGTGTAGGCAAGACTTACGGAAGAAGAGGGGGTAGCGGAGGGAGTGGCGGAGACGGGGTCGGCGGCCTGGTCGGAGCTGCCAGAGGCAGGGGTGGAGGGAGTAGCGGAGGCAACGGCCGAGGTCACGAGGGTGGTCGGAGCGGCAGAGGGGGTAGCAGAGCCAGAGCCAGAGCCAGTGCCAGAGCCGGAACCGGAGGTGAAGTCGACGCAGGACATGTAAGTCTGGCCGGCCTCAGCAGAGTCCCACCACCACTGGAGAACGCAGTTGCCGGCGGTGCCGCAGTTGGAGGGGAGGGAGTCGGGGAGGGTGACGCTGAAGGCGGTGTTGTTGGCAGCGACACCGGTCTTGGTGGAGGCGTAGTTGGTGAAGGAGATCAGGGGAGATCCGATGATGGAGTTGCTGGTAGTGTCGACGACGGAAACGTTGGCGACACCGGTGTGGGGAGCGCGGATCTCGACCTTGAAGTCGACGGTCTGGCCGGGGGTGTAGCTCTGGATGTTGGCAGAGTTGTCGGCGAACTTGTAGCCCTTGCAGAGAGCGAGCTCGCACTTGGAGGAGTCGAGGCTGTTGCCGGCCTGCTGGGCGAGGCCCTGGATGTTGCCGTACGGGTCGGACTGCTCGGTGTTCCACATGGTGGTGCCGCAGGCCTCCTTGAAGGCATCACCGGCGGGGCGGGGAGTGGGCGAGGTGACCTTGCCGTGGGCCGAGACGGCGGCGACGAAAGAGAGGACGGTGAGGATGTTGGACTGCATTTTGACTGATTTCTACACGGTAGAGTTTGGGTCGGTTTTTTTTGGTATAAAAAGAGGGTTTTGACGGTTGGGATTTGTCTTGCAATGTTCTGAAAAAAGCTTCAAAAGAATGGCTTGTGTCTAGCACAGCTGTAAAGAGAGTGTTGAAAGAATGAACGTGAATGGAAATTCGGACAAGTTTGGAATGGGACGAGGAGATCAGATCAGAAGAACGAGCAAGAAGAGTTTGAAGGCCATGGAGGATGGTCTTATACAGTTCGACTGGCAAACCCGTCTCTACGACTTGCCGTCAAAGTGGTGGGTGTCATGGGCGACCCAGTCCGGACCCAGCCACGGACCCGGAGCAATCTATGCAAGACGGCTTGTTGCGATCGAAGCTTTCAGGGGAACTGATAGTACCTTGCATGGTCATGGACTCATACGCAAAAGACGAGAAAAAGCTCAGGCCAGCCGTGGGCAGTCAGCCTGCCATGGACAAGACGAGACGTGTTGCGTATACTCTAGAGTACGGATAGACATCAGCGAGTAACCCTCCAACAGCCTTCCAAGACTGTATACGGCCACCAAGACGGCCACCAAGAGCCTAGAGATGTGATCCATCCGTGGTCCTGGAACATGCCAGCCAACGACCCCCAGTCAGCTCCATGTGGAGGGAATGGCAGCGATTGGGCGGATGACGGGCAGGGCTCCCACAACGGGCAGTAGTCGCCCAGTTGTTTAATTTGAGTGAGGCTAGGTGGACACTCTTTCGACCGAGTCTTTCCCGTCTTTGGCTGACGTTCCAGCGCAGACGCCGTGACGGCCACGACAAGTGACGAGGGTTCGAGTTGGACGACTCGACCGTGAGATGGGGAGGGGGGAGCGCGCGCCGCACGAAGCCGTCTGGCATGATCCTTGCCTCACCCTTCTCGCTCCTGAACCGGGATGGCTGAAACGGCGCCATCACGCATCTTTCAGGCGGCTCCGCCATATGACCCCCACCACTTTGCTTTACTCGATTCGATGGAATCTGGACGGTTGACCTCGTTCACGTTGTCGTAGTCAGGCAAAAGCTATGTGATTGAGGGAGAAGTCACGGTCCCTTTCCTCGTCCCATCTTCGGTTCCTCGGCCTCTCGCATCTTCGATGACCTCAACGGGAGATCATATGAGGATCATTACGACCTGGAACGTCCCTGCAAGCGAGAAATAAAAGGTCGATGCGCTTGTCGGGAAGCTGCCTGTCTTTAAAGGGGCATGACAGATCGTGTTTGTCGCTCTCCACGTTTTCTTCGTCTCCTTCTTGGGAAAATTTTTGAGTTGCTGTGCGGGTAGCTGGCCTGTTTCGAGAAGCTCCCTCCGTGAATACAATCTCGACTGTTGCCAATCTATTGATGTGAACTGGAGCTGGTCGAGCCTGACACTTTCTCAAGTTCACATGCAAGCAAGGGCGATTAGTCGAAACTTGACCGTATCAGTAATCGTCGCCCGGAATTAGCTACCGACTGGTGAACGGTGACAGCAATGCACTGCCGTTCAATCTGGATCCATCTCACATAGAATGAGATCCTTCTCTAGTGCAACTTCAGCTGTCCAGCCCGATCGCGCTAATGGCATCACTCGGTGTGCAGCCGTGTCTCATAGCCTCAACGCTCAGCGCATCTTTTCATCAACTTCAGACCATGAGCTTTTGCCCATGTGGACTCCGTCGTACCCGACTTGGCTCCCAGGTCGTGGGCCACTCAACGGCACGCGTCATTCGAAAACGCCAACGCATTCCCAATTCTCCAAAGTGGTTCTGTTCACTCTTCTGGTCTGCTTTTCGTATCCGGCTTGGCTGATTGTCGGTGTGCAGACTGGCTGCCCGCGGCCAGGCCAGGCCAGGTATTGCCAGGCAGGGCGCTCATCGGTCCTGGTTTCTTCTTCTCGCCTTCTTCGTCCGATCATCAACTGAACACATTGAAACTCACCCCCGTGCCCACATCGTGGATCCGAAGCAGGGTCAAGGGCGCTAAACCTTGTCCCATCAGCGGGTACCTGGGCCAGACCAGGCACAGGCTCCAGGGCCCCCCTCGGCCCCTCCTCCTAGCCAGACTCCTCCTGAACAGAACTGAGCCGTTGGATTGGGCCGTTTGAATTTTACCTACAGGTGAGGAGGAGAGGAAGCAAGGAAGGGGAAAAGGGGACAGGCGCGGATATACAAGCGAAGAACATGGCTGCAGCTGTTTATGCGACGGAGAATGTGGGAGATGAAATGCACTTTTTAAATTTATGGGATCATTGGGATGAAAGATGGAGAAACAGGAGCTGAGGCCCCTCCACATTCCCGCTGTGCCTCTCGAGATGGGCCAAGACCTCTGCTTGATTCGCTTACTGACCGATTCTATCGGCCGAGAGGGGATGACATAATCATACTCCGTACATACAGAAGCTCTCCTGAATTCCAATCTCTCTTCATTTTTGGTGTCCGGCGGTCGGACAGTGGACCCTTTGACTTTCGGGATGCAGCAGGATGTCGTCAGTAGCCGCTGTTCGGCATGAAGCCGGGCGGTTGGCCAGATGATGGCTTCCAGATTGACAAGAGCTATCCATTTGGGGTCCCAAATGAGATGCGTAGAAGGGCCGACGAAACTCACGCAAGAAGCCGCCTACATCACCTTCATGAGTTCAACCAGACGAGATAGGCCACCTACCTAATACGAACCACAGAGGACTCAAGGGGTTTTCTTCTAATATCAAAGAGAAGGGTGCTCAATACTACATCAGATTGACGAGTCTTTCTTATTTCTGTATGAAATCAAAGGAAGAGACTCGGACATGCATACAGTGGAAGTCTGTGACTCAAACGCCAGCCGTCAAGATAGAGACCTCCTGAGTGGCGTGAGATGAGACGTAGACAATCCGAAGGAGAAGTCGTCCTTCATAATCGGCAAGTCAACTCCTGACGCTTATCTACAACTTACAACACTACATGGCATATCTGTGTTATGAGTGTTTCGCTGGTCGCACTCCAGCACTCAACTCGGTGATGGCTAGCACCATCATGAATTAGATGGCTGTTCTTTGACTGCCGCTGTTCTGCGCAGAGCATCCAAAGAATAGTCTTCATGAATCTTGATTGCCATACTCACCATCCCTGCAAATTTTAGGCCGTCTTACGTTGAGTATGCTTGAATCGGTAGTGCACTTCTTCCCCGGCCGCAATCCGCAGCTATGGAGTTCCACTTCAAGATGCCGCGTCATCCGTCTTTCGCGCCCGGCGCTCAATCTGACACGGCCCTTGCAGCTGCGACGCCGCCACTGGACAAGTCTCGCTGTTCCGGCCGGAAGCCCATTTTCCTCGCCGTCACTGCGGCCTCCCTCATCGGCTCGGTTGTCGGTGCCTCGTCTTGGTCTCGGACGTGTTTGTTGTGATAGCCGGGCGGGTACCAGCTGTGTGAACGTTTTCGACTCGACGCGGCGGTCAATGAGTGATTCTCATATATGAAGCAATGTTGAACCTGAGGTGGCAAACAAAGTATCCAACATCAGTCACTTAATAATTCCGAGAGTAAAGCTCATACTTCGCAAATGACAACCATCCAAAGGCTGATCAATTTCAACTCATTCGGTAGCTTGAGCCACAACTATCCGGCCTTTCGTGTGTTACCAGAGCAGGCTGGGGCCACATCATTCATCAACCTCTCGTAACCGGCGTTTCCGCCTCTTCCTCTGCCTGGAATAGCTCACTCAGCTCCTCTGAAACTTTGATGACCTCAATAAGTGGCGGCAGGTAGCAGGGCTTCCGCGGCGCGCCTCCGTAGTCATTCCAAAATTTGACCACAGCCTTCATACCCACGAGCCCTAGGCCAGTGACAACCGAATTCCCTCTCGCAATGACTGCCTGCAGCTGCTCCGCCTCACGGAGCTCACCTCGATCAGAGAGCTCCCTGACGCGCACGCACGCATACGTTGCGAAGTTGGCGAGGCCTGCGATCGTTCCGTTCGCCCCGTGGACTTGACACTGGCGGATGGAGTTGGTGTTGCCGCCGGCCACAAAGAAAATCTCCGGTAGCAAAGCATACGCCTCCTTCGCGAGATTTTTCATGTTGTCGTACTTGAGGTTGACGCCCATGACGTTGGGGTGCCTCGCGATACGGAGGATGTCGTCCAAGGTGAGTTGCATTCCCGATACCGCTACGGGGAAGTTGTCGATGACCAGCGAGATGGGCGATCTGTCCGCGACGTCGTAGAAGTGCTGTATGATCATTTCATTTTTGACGACAGATGTGTAGTAGCTTGGAACTGTTATCAAAGCGTGAGACGCGCCGCTCTCGGCTGCGTCTCGACATAGTTGAAGTGTTCCACGCGTCGACTGAGCACCGCACGCGGCGATCAACGAAGCGCGGGTGTTCTTGAATCTGTCGCAATACTCTCTGGAGATAGTATCGGCTGCGCACCTGATCATGGTGCGGCGTTCTTCCCTCGTCAGGTGCACTGCTTCGCCGATGGAACTGTGAATCACGATGCCTGCTACCCCTGCTTTGATCAGTCTGGTGACATGATGCTCGAGAGTTACTGTGTCGATATCCTCGGAATGACTAAAGAAGGCGAGAGTGGGAGCGTATACTCCATTGGGGAGACGAAGATGCTTTGCCTTGGGTGCCCCTCGCGAGGCTTCCACCTGCGAACTATAAGCCACGCTGTCATCCGACATCGTCCTTGATAACTCACAAAAGTCGTTCTTGTACATAACAGCAAGTCAAGCGCAGAATCTCGAGCCACATCAAATCATACAGGGCAGCTTAAACTTTATACTCTCGTTGAGAACCCCGGCTCAAATATCTCGGAGCGACCTTCGCCATGTTAAGGACCAGGAGATAAGTCAACAGGATTCACATCAAACAAAGTTCAATATGCCCCCTTTTAAGACAAAAGCCATTTCAGTGAACATGTGGCTTTGCGAGAGGGTGGAGATCAATTTCAAGGTTTGAGAGGACAGGAGTTTACGTTGGAGTGGCTGTTTTGCTAACGACATATCCTACCTTTTTCGAATACGCCACTGGACAGTTGAGAATTTGAAGTTGAGAGTTCTTTCAATAAGATAGGCAACGTAGGTTTTCGGTATTGGCATATCACAAGGTGCGCCACCGCGACATTTTCCGAAGAACGCATTTGACCACTGCGTTCCTTCAGGTAAGCCTTGAGGAAAGTTACTACTTGAAACTTGAAGACAGAAGAGATCAGGTTGCATTTGATACGGCTGTCATGCGCAGATCTTGCGTTGCAGTGTAGTCAGTACATCATGCTGCTTTATGTTCCTGGTGAACGCACACCACCCTGGGTCCATGTAGTGAAATCACTTCATCATCTAGGTTCCAGAATACTTCAACCCATCGCTCTAAGAAAGTTTTATTTATATATGATATGGACCTAATTAATCAGTCTCGAGGCATTAATTGACTGAATACAGCGGCCTGAAGAGCTCACGTAAGGATATTGCCTACCACCTCGTCGATGTCCCCATAGCCTTTGATATAACCCTGTGATATCAGGGGCAAGGCCAAGTATAAAGCAGTCAATCAAATATACATTAAAAAATGCCCGTGTACAGGTCTCAAATTATATGGCTCCAGTGCCTAAGCTTCGTTTCTGGCAACACAAAGCATACCTGAGCTACACTGTCGTCACCCACCTCACTTCACTTGGGTCTGCTATGCGTGGGGTCTTGTTCTCACGATTGGCCTCCCAGAACATCTCCACACCACATTGCATCCGCAATATGGATCACCGGCGTTGTGGCAGAGTGGTCTAATGCGCAAGACTAGAAATCTTGTTCCTTCGGGAGCGTCTGTTCGAATCAGGCCAACGTCGACTACCTTTTGTTTTCCTGCGCAGTTGCATTTTGAATACCATAAGTTTGATACAGTTGAACTTCTGTGGCTGCCAAACGGCAATCGAAGGACTGAATTATTATGTTAGTCAAGTGAACTCAAGTTCGTGCTGGCTTTTGACTTAGAAATCAGTTGCCAAATTGCTGAATGCGAGTTCCAATTGTCTCTCCAGCAAGTAAGTGTACGTAACCCCAGTCCTTTCTGGGATCTATCATACTTCTCATTCAGCTACCTCTGAGTGGTGGCTTACTCCCGTCCATGCTCTTAACATGCTACATTGCCGCCTAAATCATCGTTGTTTTCCGATGGGGTAGAGAGTCTTCATTTCTCTGGCCTTTAGCTACTCGTGCATCAGCTCATGTGCAACCTCACGGGCGCCTACCCCAGAACCAGGTCAGAAAAATTCCGATCAATGCCCCGTTCTGTATGTCTCTCTTCAACTCTGACTCAAGCCTGTCCATGTCTTCAGTAGTTTGGATAGTGTAGACGCCTCCAGATTCAAGTATAGATGCAATACTGGCTGAGCAACCTCGGAGAACGAGTGGAAGTTAAGCGTGCATGCTGTATTGGATGACTACCTTAGGATGAGTAAGATGAAAACGCTATAACTGTAGTGAGAGGAACTTGTCCAAAAGAACTGTAGACAGCACTGAGAAATTTGAAGAACTTACAATGGATTGCGGCCAACGTTCATGGACCACAACATTCTGATTCGAGACCACTCGTCGAAAGCGTGGCTAGGCGGGACGCACTTCCAGGACATATCGCCGGCTTCTTCCCAGTGGATGTACCCCCCGGAGCGCAAGAGCGCGAACGCATTCGCCGCCACAGTTCCCCAATCCTCCTTTCGCATTCCAGGCCAATCAAGCGTATGTGTATCATGTCGAATGATCCATGCATCTCCTCTGAAAACGTCTTCAACGCATTATGCTGCAGAAGAAAAATGTTTGGAGGCAAGTCTGATGGTGGCGGAAACTTGGTGGTGTCCATATCAATGCCTCGCAGCTCGGCGCTGGAAGGGAGCAACTTTGCCATGTCTCTCAGCCAGATGCCGGTGCCGGTGGCAATTTCTGCAACGCGAGGGTTCTGCTGATCCTTAAGATGTGTCGAGATTTGCTAGGGACAGAGCCCGCCGCAACGAGGAGGAAGATGCTCCTGTGATTGTACTCGAGTCGCTCACGTTCTTTGGTAAGGTCGCCGCGGTTGAGGGCGTAGACAGTATCCTGGTCCTTGTTCCATGGTTCCAAGTCAGCGTGGGACTGCGGATGGGATACTATTGCCATTCTGTAAGAGTCCAGTAATAAGGTTACAAGTGCCGTCGCGAGTTATTCTGATGGTGCGGAACTTGCTGTGTCGTATATAGGGAAACTCGACGGCCTTTTATGCTCAAGGTCACACGGAGGTTCGGAACTCGTGCAGCTTTCGGCCGAGGCAGCACAGTAATTGAGTTGAAGGCATGAGAAGCTCTGACCAATCGCTCGAGGATTTGCTATCAACGTTGAACTACATCTCTATCATAGGCTTTCGGCACTTGGCTGTCACAAGCGCGATTGGCAACTAGTATGTCATTTCTGCGTAGGTAGTTCGTCTAAGATGCGACTTAACATATCGTTTTGAACCTAACGCCCTTGATATCGCCGATTTCGGTTCCGGTGCATAGTCTCGGGCTTAGTTACTGTAAGACCTGGGCACATGTAGAAAAGTCTAAAAAAGTCCCAACGGTGACGATGTGCTGATGAAGGAAAATAACTTATTCCCTGCGCCAGGACCATTGCCCAACTGGTGATAGAGCACACTCTTCGTTCTCCAGATGTTCTCAGAATTGAGAAACAATAGCGCTGCACTGTGGGGAACGCATCTCCAACGCCAGGTTTTCTAGTGCGCCGTAATTGTCACTCAGCTCAGAAGGACCACTCCATGACATTCTTATTGGGTCGCTGGTGTCTGGAGGAAATCCCACAGGCAGAGGCGGATTTCAAGAAGGAGTGGTAGGCAGTAGAACTCAGAATACGATCCTGCGAGCCTGATACATATCTCAATCAAGAGACAAGCTGCTCTATGGTCGATATGTTCATCACCGTTCCTGTCGGTCTAAACCCTCCTACGAGCCTGCAGTTGTAGGCTCGTAATGACGGAGAAAGGACCGAGCCTTCTTGATAGCAACCCGCCAAGCCATCAGAAGCAGATGAGAGTCTCGGTCGCTTCTCGATTCGTACAATCTAGCTCGCAACAAAGTTGCAACATCTAACAGCATCATAGGTCTGAGGAAAAAGAAATCCTCCAGAGCAAGGGAGACATTTCCGAGCCTTCTCTATTCATAGACTCCTCGGTTGTTCGGGCTACCAAGGTGCAGCTGGTACCAATATGTCCGCTGAACTCACTTTTATGGTCCTGTACTTTTGCGGGTATCGAATGTCATCAAGGTTGGGGGAAAAATGTACATACCACCCAAACTAGAATCGAAGCAAAACCCTGCAGCATCGACGCAAGTTCAAGGATAAATAGTTACTACTGATTCAGCCACGGAACGCTGCAGAGTGACAAGTAGAGCAACAAGACGTATTAGGAGATAGGTTTGCTGAAAGAAGTATGCGTGTTTGAGTCGTACTTTTTCTTTAATATCTGGGTATGCTTGGGTGAGAAGTGGGAGTCCAGACTGAGAGGTAGGAGTCAAGGAAGATGCAACCAGGAGAGACGTTTTCATAGTTAGCCACATAAAGACTCAAGATACTCATAGTGCATGCACCATCAATCTCGGGTTTTACCCGAGCTTGAAGAGAGGAGACCACAGATCCAAAGGGTTAGCCTCAAAAAGTAGAGATTTGCCGGGTGATATGTGGACACTGGCGCCGTAGCCTCCGTCTCGGGACGTCCCGGCCGGGATCGGCGTACCCCACATCATCGGGCTCATGCTTCCGGGCTATCATCACACCAGTCGTATGACGCTCACGTCGAGTGGCTCTTGGCGAAAGGAAATATAAAGAATATGGCAGCCTCTGATTTTCAGCTTGAAAAGCTTGGCATGTTATCTGAGTCGCAAGCAGTGCAACCTTCTTCAGCCTTCAATTTGGATGGGGGCTATTACGGCCCAGAGCTGAAGTGTAAGTTCTTTTAGTAAAGCCATGGCGTTGAAACATTCCGGAGCCGGCGCTGGCGCGCGGCTCTTTACCGGCACTTCGCCTATGCCACGTTGTGTAACTGTTGGTCTATTTGAGCTATTTTTCATGCTGTGGTGTGACTGTAACTTGCATCAGTAGATATCATGAGGCTGCCAAGCTACAAAAAGTCCCTGACCCGGTCTTCATTAACCATCTTCACTCCTACCTGTCTCGTCTTCCATCGACTATAAATGCAAGTTCTACAGCAACACCAGACCCGAACGGTTGAAATCAATACAACATGGCGTCATACCCTGTGGAAGAGTATGAGGGGGTGTTCAAAGAAATCTTGAACGAGGTTTTTCTGAAATGTCGAGATGCCAACAACACAGAGTACTTCATGTACATCGGGGATTTTACCTGTAAAGACTACGACGCTTGCGAGTGTCCCATGATGATACCGCAGCCAGATATAGCAGGCACAGGTGTAAGTATTTGATGTTTCTTTTTAGCACAACCTCTTAAGATTAGAAGAATGACTTCTTACTGGAACCGTTCGGCGAGTTTAGGTGCTGGTAGCTTTCGCCCTCACGGCATTTTTCACTCTCCTTTCAGCAATTTTCTGTATCGTCGTAGGCCGTACCAATCAAACTCGACGGACCTTCAACCCGATCGACCGATATGGTTGCGAATGGATATCCGAACCTCTTCGCCGCTTCATGTTCCGAAGGGGCATGAACCCCGACTTGTATTCCCTCGTCGCCTACGACCTCGTCAATACTTTCAGTGATCTCCAGCTCGTGACAGGTCTCGCGGTATTAGTCGCCGGGATCAAGGAGCTGGTAGATGAAAAGATCTCAATCTATCACTTTTTGATCGTCACCGACCTCGCGTGGTTCTGTACGAATGCTCACCTGCTATCGCTGGTGGTCACTCGCGGGTTCAGTGATAGCGTCAAGAGGACACACCCACAGCGATGCAATCCCGAAAACACCGAAATGACTGCACGCCTGGCTCGCGCTCTACGGATTGTGCTAATGGCGGCCACGTTTCTACTCCTTCAAATTTCATTTTGGGCCACTGGCTATGAAGATGTCTATAATCCGGACCGAATGAGGTGCCCGATGAGATGCACCTTGGGTAAGGAGAAGGGCGGATGGCCTAGACACCTGATGGTAGCCAACATGACCTTGATGGCATACTTTTATGCCCTACAAACCTTCCTCAGTTGGCGTACCGGTCGCATCTTTTGGATGGACCATATCAGAGGGTCACTGATCGACAAGCAAGGCCAATCGATCAATGTCTTGAATCCCGAAATCATCTTCAAACGATGGACTGAGAACAAATTCTTGAAGATGCTGAGAATGTCGCTTCTAGCGTTTTGGTATTTCCTCGCGTCTGAAGTTGGGAACTTAGTGGGGTTAACTCTCTATTTTGGTTTCGGCATCTATTCTCTTCTCGACGATAAGAGACGTTTAGGCTTCACGGGGGACGATTATACTGCCCATGGCGAGAGCGAGATTGTATACAGCCAGCTCGTTCCCATTTTCTTACTCATCATCCCCTTCATGGGCATCTTTGAGTCACATGCTAGGCACTCGAAGACGGTCAAGGAGTCCGAAGCCAAGGAGGTGGGAAGTTGTACATCAGAGGGATCTTGAAAGCAAATTTGTTTCATGCGAGTGGTGAATCTTGAGGGAGAACCGGACGAAAAGGACAGAACCAAGACGACAGACTGACGAACATGATGAGTCTGATGACTCTGGTTGAGGCAAGGTAGGAGAACACCAAGCCATGCGGAGTGCCATAATACTCCGAAGATCGGATTACTTCTGAGTTAGAGAAAATGCCAGCATTTCTTTTTCAAGGTCAAAGCAACGTGGCGGTGTTCATCGTGAGTTCGCTCTCAGGGTTGGTCAGCACGTTCCCATCGTTTCCCCTTCCGGCGATGTCACTGATCGTCGAAGCGTTTGGCACTTTCAACCACCAAGAGGCGCAAGAGGAGAAACCGTCAGCCGGCAAGGCTGATGTCCCTTGAGACAAAAGAAGCCACAACAGGCCGCCGGTGGTTATGAAAGCGTCGGAATATCACCAAAAAATGGGATCAGGGCTGAAAGGGAGGAACACATGGGTGCAGGCACCGACATTTGCTCAGCGCCACAACGCTAGAGCGCGACATGTCTCATTCCCCGGCCTTCACACGCATGCCAATGAGAGTGCCACCCATTCCTGACACTTTGGCTTTGACGCTGATGTCCCGCCTCCGTCAAGCTCTTCTCAACGCGTTCGGCATAGCGGTGGCTGAGCGTAGGGTCGCGTTTTACAGGTTCTTCCGACACGAGACGATGAGAAGGCGGGCCGAGGATGTCATGCCAGGCAGAGGTGCGACTGAGTCTTCCGTCATACCAAAGTACACGAGAGTAAGGGTTTCTTGCTGCGGCTTGTCCTGAGTTCTGATGAGCATGCATCATTCCCTGTAACTCATGCAGCAGAGATCACGACGATCAGTTGGCCCCCTCAAGGTGTATTGAACCTCATACCTCACTTCGTGAAGCAAAGGGTGGGACCGTCAGCCTCCCGCCAAGCTCGCATACACCATTCGAGGCACAAGTGTATCGGCGAATTTGATATAAGACGACCGTCACTCCTTTCCCAAGCAGGAGGTTAAGGACCGGACGACATCAGAACGTGCATTCACCTTATAGATCACCGTCATCGCTCCAGTCACCATTAATTCCCTCGACCGTGCTCACAGCCCAGAGACCTTGCCCGCAGCCATATCAACCCATCCATCACCCAGTACTTGCAAGACGTGGCTTCATTCGCACTTTCACACACACTCATATACACCCATACAAAATCTCACAATGCGTCCCTCAACCTACCTTGTCGCAGCCCTCTGCGCAACTGCAAACGCCCTTCAAGCCATAGACGTACCAAACCGCGCCAGTGAAGCTATAGCAGCCGCCAACGCAGCCATCAAGGAACGCCGCGACCTCAACGCCTGCACATCCGTCGCAACTTCCCTCCTCCCCAAAATCACCGACAACGTGCCCACCCCGCCCGCCGACGTGGCCGCCTACCTTGCACTCTCGGTAACCATCACGGACGCCTGCTCCGACCCGACCATCACGGGATCCATCGGCTCCGCGTACTCAACCTACGCGTCATCGTACACGTCGTGGAGAGACAAGCACATCACCGACTTCCGTGCGCTGTGGCAGGCTTGCAGCGACGTTCCTGGCATCGTGGACGTTTTGCCTACGGGTACGAATCAGTGTAGCTCCGTTGTGGCGCAGATTACCAGCGCGGGGCCGGTTAACGGCGGCGGGTCCGGGGGTATCGGGGGGTCGCACAACGCTGCTGCTAAGCCTAGGGAGACCGGGGCTGTTGTTGCGGCGGCGGCCATGGCTGGATTCATCGTTGCTGCTATTCAGTGAGAGTTGACTTGATGCGTGTGCCTTCACCTGAAGAAGAAGGAACGTGGGGAATGGTCATGAAGACGAGGAACGAAAGCTTTTGCTGACACTAGTTGATACCTTGATTGAGGAGGATGTAATGAGAATTATGGCATCAAACATGAAGGAGAAACACACTCGATACTTTAATTCCCCTCGTTGAAGCTGTCCACAATGACTCCGTATACGCCCGCTTCCATCTGGTATCTTATTGTTTCCTCCCATATGTCTTTTTCGCATACTTGACATTATCATTAGTTTTGTTTCCAAAATATCTACAAGAAGTCTCCCTCATCATAACAGGACGGCAAAATTCCAATTCTCTACCGCTGCATGCGACTTTTTCAAGTCCCGCTTCAGCCAGCACCGCAGCTCCGCGGCGCCGTTGATCATCACGTTGCCCCACGATACGCCGGTACACTGGGCCGACTTTGCGCAGATCTCCATGCAGTCGCCCATGGTGCTCGCCTGCGTGTTGGACATGTCGATGGCGCCGTCGTCGCCGCTGTAGTCGACCCCGCAGACCCGGAGGAAGCGCTTGTCGGAGCCGATGACGTTGTAGACCGTATTGTCCGCGTCTGGGCAGATTGCATTGCCGCTCGAAGTTGCTGTTGGAGATGGCGTTGATGTGGAGGTGCTGGTCACCGAGGTTGGAATCGATGTTGATGCTGTCTCGGTAGCAGTTGCGTCGCTGCCGCTCCGTGGCATGGAGGAGCTGGACATTGTGGGCACGATCATTGTTGTTGATGTCGAGCTTGCACCAGTAGTTGGCGTGGGCGTTGAAGTTGAGCTTGAGGAAAGCTTTGTTAATCGACAGGTCCACGCGCATGTCAAAGTCCAAGAGAAGATGAAGCACATACCTCGTCGTCGCGGCGTTCTGGTCCGACTTTTGATTCGCGCCAATGCCGACACCAACACCAATACCAACTCCGAGAACAACCGCAACAATCAGAGCAACGAGCAACCAAAACACCCACATCGTCATACCGCAGCACTTGCGCTTCCTCTTGCGATCGCTATCCTCCTCGTCGTGATCGAACACGCTCTGCCGATACCCCCGCGTCCGAGCAGCCTTGTCACCGCCGGTGCCATCAGGTAGCGGCGGCGTGTCCTCGCGGTAGAACGTGAATTCTTCATTGTTCATGGGCGTCGGATCGTCGCCGGCCCAGTAGACGCTGGGTATCGATGCTTTGCCAAAGATGGATCCCTTTGCGCTCCGGATGGTGGCTGCTTTGCGGGGTGACGGCACGGTGCGTTTTGCTTTGAGGTCGCGGGGGACGATCGGGTCCGGTTCGTCCGGCGGGGGAGGGCGGTCGTTCATCATCTTGTTACCGATAATTCCTGTCCTCTTGCCACCTTACGTTGATCTGGTCGTTTCCGATTCCTCTAGTTGGATTCCTCCAATTGAATTTCCCTCTAGTATTGCCCAATCCCTATTCGATCCCGAAGCAAAAAGTTGGCAATTGCAATTGCCGATGCCAGGCTTTGCAGACAATAATTGCCAGAGTTGCTTTCTTTCGGCGACAAGGCTGTTGGCGTTGCGTGTAGGTTGGGTTATACGGCGAGATCCCGCACCATTATCTCGGCCTTCCCGGGACGAGGACAGAGTTTCGTAGCCTTGCCGTGGCTGGACCCTTGATATAAAAGAAACGAATGTATCTCGAACAAATGCGACCTTGTTTCAAACGAGCGAAAGTGGGCGCGCCCTGGGAAGCGCAATGCGCCGCGCTGCCGTGAATTTGAATTTGGGGGTCCGATTTTCTCTCTCTGCCCGTATTCCTAAACCCCAGCCCCGTCACAATGTCGAGCGGGAAAAGAGTGAACCGCTTTGTAGGATCGTTTCGCCTTCAATTGAATGAATGAAATTGAAGCGAAACGTAATGAATGAGAATGAGTGAAGGAAGGGGAAACAGGAAGAATGAAAGGTAAGACAGAAACGAAAAGTGGGCAAACAGAGTCAACCGTTACCCGCGAATCCATGATCCGTTCAGGAAACTCTCCTCCTGGCCCCCTGTTGCTGGGCTTTCTCCATCAATAAAAGGACCTATATAACAGAGTCCGGAAGTGGTGGTGCCCCTGTTGTGATAATTTCCCGGGCCTGGGGCATGATGTGACGGACTAGGCCGCTTTGGCACGTCCAAGCAATCTACACCATGGAACCGTGGTTTTAGGGGCAAGGATCATGAAGGTGTTGGTTCGTGGTTCTTGACCAGTATGAGAAATCAGTTGCGTTGGACAAGTTGAAGCACCGAAGTGAAAGAAGTAAAAGATCAAGTGAGAGATGATATCCAGAGATCGACCTGTCCGACTGCCATGCGAGCAAACGGCGCGCTGCCCATACTTTCGGGATGTTCGCCTGCCTCACCCGAGGAATGCAATGCAACTGTGACGGTCGACCCGACTCACCATTCCCAAAACCACCGATCAAGACAACGCTCGGCGGGCTGTTTTCCTCGACAAGTTAGCTCCCCCAAGCAATTGGCTTACCCCCTACCCTCATCGAAAAGAAACGGTCCTAGCGCATCCAGACCAGACAGGCACACAGATAACAAGACGAAAACATGTGCGGACTCCAAAGTGCGAGCCAGCCGTGCCAGCCACCGGGTGCTAAAGAAAGCACCTTGTGGTGGACGCGAAGGAGGTGTGGGAGTCTGACTTTGTCGCGCTGGCGCCGCGAGTTTTGTACCTTTGCGCCCGAGTCAACCCCTCATCCCTCCCATAGTGATTTAAAATGATCCTTTGGCCCCCCTCCACTCTTCCAACAGACGGTACGGATTCATGTGAGTTCTAGCCCTGCTTCCCAAGATGACGGTCCGCCGTGCATGAGCCCGCGCCGGACATCTGTTCGCTTTGGCGTGCTTTTCGTTGCGCTTTGCCTGGCCTCGATCGCTTCCGCTTTCCCGCGACGGCAACGGACTGTGCTACAGTTGAAGTGTTGAGTGGCGCAAAATCTCGAACCCCTCATTTTGGAAAGAGCAAAGAGCCTCAGTGCTTCACTCATATTCGTTGCCGTGGTCACTTGATCCAAGCTGCGGCAGGGTAAGGTGAGCAAGGAGCAGAGGTAAAGGGCAGAGAGGAAAGGGAACCGTTGGAAGCATTTGGAAGAAGGGAACTTGAACAGAGTCATGGCAGTGGTATGTGCGGAGGAAGTGTTCAAACTAGCAGAGTTTGCGATTCATGAAGGGACCGTTCATCTCAAGTTTTTTATCCCAACGGTGTCCCTGCGAGGAGCCCAACCTCGAAAATGTTCCATGGGAATACTGAAAGGGCAAGGGAAACGAACGAGCTGGGGGAAACGAGCGACAAAAGCCTGCTTTCCAGCCTCGCTAACTTTGAGAATAACAATAACACTCAACTCTTGACGCCCGATAATCAAACTCCCACGGCCCAAAGCAACCTGCTTTCACAGCATTCCATGGCCCAAGCCCCTGTCCAAGCCCTTGTCGTCTTTTTCCTTGCGAAAGAAGGCCATTGCCAGAAGAAAAAAAATCTCCGAGCTTTGGAAGCCCTGGAATGCAGCCTAGAATTCTTCTTCCTCTAATTATGGCTGAACCGCTCTGCCACTGACGCCTGAAAGCTGAAAGCCTTGTGTTTGTCCTCGGCTGTTCGAGTCTCCGTAACACTAACAGTAAACAGGTTCCCGTTGCCATTGGGAAATGAAGACGAGGTCGGAACGGGTCTACTAGTGAACATGACGAGAAACTGTCAAGGAAGCCCTCTGGTCTCTTGGTGTCCTCTCCGAGGTCTCCAGCCCCCAGTCCCAGGGCGATCGCTGCAAGTCGGGCATGAGGTGGTGTGGATCATCTCCACGAACATCCCGGCATTCCGTTCATCGGGCACCAACTCAACGCCGCTCTCTTGAGATGAAGTGTTGATGCCAATCAAGTCTTCCTCCCTTTGGAAGCTTCCTTTAAACATGCACGTCGTCCCAGAGCGAGTGGCCACTGTTGCATGACTCCCGCAAGACCTTTCCTTGTCTGCTCTTATATTCGCTGCGTTCTTGCTGTTTTCTTTGGGAAATTTTCTCAAAAGGCCTGTCCTTACCGTCCCATCCCGCTCCCGAACCAGACCAAAAGAAGCGTGAAGCCATCGTCAAGTTTTTTTTTTCTTTCTTTCAGCTGCAGTGGGGATTTCATTTTGATTATCATTTCGGCCCGTGGACTACAGTATGGCCCATCGACAGGCCCCGCCGCAGCCGGCCCGGGGCTCGCGGCCCCAGACCGAGAAGGTATCCAGCTCGGCCTCCAAGAGCAAGGGAACTAAAGCGCCGGCTCCGGCTCCGGCGCCAGCTCCGGCTTCCAAGTCCGCGAGGCAGGCAACTCCTATCGCTGCACCGAAGCCCGTTCGCCCTGTTTCTTCTCACAAGCTTCAGCCACCGGTGCAGCAGTGGACGGGAAACCCAAGCCCTCCCTCTTACACCAGCTTCAACGTTCCGCCACCCGCAAGTCCAGTACCAAAAGCCGGCGCCAACGGCCCTTCGGCTCCCCCGAAAGCTCCCTTATCCGGCCTCGGCCGTGTCGCCGACCTCCGCAGCCCGGGACCCGGCGCCCTCACTAGCTTTCCTCCGCCTCCGCCGACACCGCCACAGAGGGAGCCCACTGGTTACTTCCCAGCGGGCGCAGGTCAGCAACAACAGCAACAACTATCATCAGCACAAATCAAGGCGGCCGCAGCTCGTATCCCGCCTAGTGCGGCCAATGGAGTCCTGACACCACCCGAAAATGCGAAGAGGACTGGGGCACCTGAACCGCGGCCTGGCGTGATCGATTTTGACAACCTCGAAGAGACGCTCCAGAACTTGCGCTTCGCGCCCTCGCCAATGCTGTCTACTATCTACTCCGCCCCGTCGACCCCTCGCGACGAGCTCGCCACGCCAGACTTCACCGCCAGCACCACCACATCGTGCTTCACGCCTCCCTCCACGAACCCGACCCCTGAGCCCGTGACGCCGTTGGATCTCACCCCTCGAGGACCACCTCCAGCGCAAAAGCAGCAGCCAAAGAAGGAACTCACAATGTCGCCCACTAGACCGCGCGCCAACTCTCGAAGAGCCAGCCCGCCCAGCAGAAAGCGAGGACGCGGCGTCGTCGCCTGCATCGACAGCCCCGTCGCCTTTTGCACGACGTGGTATACGCACCCTACCGCGCCCGACTTCTCCATCTGCTCAAAGTGCTACGAGGACCACCTCGTTGGCACCCGGTTCGAGCACGACTTCCGTGGCAAGATCTGCGATGATAACAAGCCGCGGGTCTGCCGCTTCAGCAAGCCCCGCGTCAGGGACCATCTTCTCCGCAACACCCTCGCTACGGGACGCATCGAGGACCTCGTCAGCTTTCTCCTCCACAGGAGCGCCGTTCCGGACTGCAAGGGCGCCGATGGAGCCAAGGGAAGCGAGGGCGCCAAATGGTATCGCCCAAAGAACAATGCCGTACCAAACATGGTTGTCTGCCAGGCCTGCTTCGAGGATCATATCCAGCCGTACCGCTTCGCGGCCAACTTTGAGCAGGCCACGGGACAAGCCACCAACGATGTCTGGTCCTGCGATCTCTCCACCCGCTACATCCAAAACATTTACAAAGAAGCAGCCGACAAAAACGACTGGCTCGGCTTCACCAAGGAAGCCCTCGCCAGGATGAACCTGCCCCCCTGCGCCAAGCGCCAAAAAGTCACCGTCACCTCTCGCAAGTGGTTCACGCCCACGGCCGCCGGCCACGATGGCGTCCTGGTCTGCGCCGCGTGCTACTGCGACTTCGTAGCCGGCACGGGCGAGGAAGGAAAATGGTCTGACGCCGGCACGAACCTCGCCTCGCGGTACGGCAGTCTCGTCTACTGCGCACTGGGCCACTTCAACATTGGCATTGCAATGTCTTGCGCCACCGAGGCCAAGCAGTACTCCATCTTCTGGAAGGCCCTCGACGCCGCCTGCAACGAGGAGTTTTGCAGCCCGCAGGGCATCACGGACGGAACTTGGTACACTTTCCCATCCCACCCGGCCGAGTTCGGCATCTGCGCCGCCTGCGTGGCGAACGTCGCCGAACCCCTCGGCCTGAGCTCCTCTCTCGTGCCAAAGTGCGGCGTGTCATCCGGCACGACGCTTCTGTGCTGCTTTAACCCCGCGAACCCGCGCTTCGCCCCTTACATGATGAAGCTTCTCGAGGGCCACTTCACAGCCGACACCCAGCCGCTTGAGTCCTACGCCCTCGAGTTCGCCAGCCTGCCCCTCTGCCCGCGCGACGAGGATTTCCGTGACAGGCGGTGGTACGGATGGCAAGACTGCACAATTTGCCCGTCGTGTTACCACGAGTCCATCCGCGGCACTACACTGGCGGCCGCCATGCCGCTCAAGGGCGTCACCGTGGCCGCGAGCCTCATGTGCGAGATGTACAGCCCGCGCATGCGCAACCTCTACGCCCAGGCTTGTGCCCGTAACGACCCATCGGAACTGCTCCGGGTGTCTAAGGCCCGTCGGGCCGTCTATGTCGAGACGGTACCTACAATCCGGCAGATGATTATGGAGGCGCAGATGGCGTTGGGGCAGCAGCGCGTGTTGAATGTTGCAAGCTCGACGAGCCGGGCTATGGGACAGGCGAAGGAGGTTGTGATGCCGAATCAGGGAGTGTATAGTGTGCCCGGCGTTGGATTCGGTTTCTCGAACCACTTTGAGGCTCAGGGGGCCTCGTACAGCAAGCAGGCCAACTTGATCATGGCGGAGTATGGGTCGGGATCGCGGACGCATGTTATTGGGACGTTGGAGAAGAGATGGAGAGAGGTTGAGTGAGTTGGATGCACTGAATGAGCGAGGATGTACATGCATGTTTTTTCCTTTGTCTAAAGATACCACTTAGAATATTGAAAAGTCTTTCCAAAAAATCCATCAACTCTAGCCTCACTTGCACTCTATGATGTTCTAACACCAGCATAGGAGCACGGGATATTACTGCGTCAGCTTCGGGTACGCACTCAGAGCTGCCTGCCCGCCAGTATGCAGAAACAGCGTCGCCTTTCCATTAAACCCTCCCGCCTTGGCAGTATGCAGCAGACCAGTAAATGCCTTGCCAGTATAAACCGGATCCGTCAGGATCCCCTCCGTCCGAGCCAATGTCTTGATGCCCTCCGCCGTTCGCTCATCAAGGTGGCCGTACGAACCTCCAAGGTACTCGTAATCGATCTCAAAGTCGTTTCTCGTGATCAACTTGGGATCCAGCCCAACCTTCTCCGCTGTGGTCCTCGCAATATCCAGCACCATCTGTGCGACGTCGTCCTCGGCCTTCCTCAGGATCGAGTATCCGACTAGTCGCTTCCGCGCACCATCACGGCCGACCTGCTGCGCGAGCTTGAAGCCGGCGACAAGGCCGCCCAGGGTCGATCCGGAGCCGACCGCGACTCCTATGTTCCTGATATTTGTGCTATGTTTGTCTTCCCACTCGAGAAGCTCAAAGGCCCATCTTGCGTAGCCTAGGCCGCCGAGGGGGTGTGTGCTTGCGCCCGCTGGGATCACGTATGGCTTCTGCCCGCGGCTCTCAAGGGCGGTGACGGCGTCTTCTTTGCTCGTGTTTGGCGGGAAGGTCTCGGCACCGAGAATGAAGTTGAGCTGGATGTTTCCTGCGTACTTGTACTCCGGGTCCTCTGATGAAACGGCAGTGACGGGGAAGAGGGCGACCTATCTATCTGTCAGAGGAGACCTGCGCCATCTGAAGACGGGTAATTACGACCTCTATGCGAGAGGCATAGACTCACTTTCAAACCTAGCTTTGCCGCAGCCGCAGCGGTCTGGCGCATGTGGTTCGACTGGGTCCCGCCAGTCGTGACTATTGTATCCGCACCTTGATCGATAGCGTCCGCCAAGACGTATTCTAACTTTCGCACCTTGTTGCCTCCGAACGCCAGACCAGAGTTACAGTCATCACGGGCGATATAGATGGCCCCGTCGTTGGTCCCCTCCTGCTCAGGTAGTCGGTGTAGCTGTTCAATGTCTACCGGCCGGTCATAGGTCAACTGGAGACGAGGGATCTCGCTGAATGGATGTGGAAGATTGACCATGTTTACTTGATCTCTAGCTTCATTCAAAGGATATGGTTCGGAAATATCCCAAACTCCTGGTCTTTTGGTTTGAGGCGCGAGAGTTGTGGCCTCAACTTGAGACTTTGGAAGAGGGGCCATCTAAGGTGAGATGAGTGACCCCGCTCCAGCTAATTCCATGTAAGCCTATGACGTGCGATTTGGGATAAACGTCGTGTAATTTGTCAGCGCTGGTGGTTTTGAACTTCTGTTCACGATTAGATACTCTGGTACGTCGATGTATTCAATCCACGTTCATATGATGTCAAGTAGATACCCACGCACCGGACCAAGTAGCGCTCGAAACGTCAAACCTCAAACACATAGCCTTGAATACTGTCTTGTGAGAGCACACACCTGTTCTCTAAGCAGAAGGATTTAAATCCACCTATGGTCTATCGCTATGGCTGGAAGTTACGACACCATCGTCTTCCCTAGAGACTCGCAATTTAGACAAAGTGCAGGCCATTCAGCGACCGTTCTTAGTTTGGCGCGCTCAATGTTGATAAACTGCTCTTCTCCCGCAATTTTGTCCAGCCTTACAGGCCGCAGGACGTCGAGTCAGACTTTATTTCGGCCATCGGGGTATTGCACAGGTAAGTTGAGAAGCAGCCCACTCTGCTGCTTGATGCCAAGCACCCTTCCCACTTTACCTTCGACATCTTCGTTCCCCTACGCGCGCGTGATACCTCCTCCGCAAAAACACCACCCCGACAAAGAGCCCAGATACAAATAACCGGAGACATAACAGCAAAAATGAAGTGGGCAATTATCTACTGGCTCCTGCCTCTCGCCTGCGTGGCCCAAATTCCCGTTGACCCGCTCCCTTACACACCCCTCGGGCCCAATCCCACCCAGAAGGTGTTTCCCACCACGACCTGGTGCGCAACAGTAACGCCCACCGAGATTCCTGGTATAAAACCCAACGTAACCCTCTCATGTACAACATACGCCCCGGAACCGACAGTATTTGCTCGATTCAACCGCATCCCGAGGGCTCGAGGCCAGGCACGATGCTGGTACGATAGCTACGTCGACAGGATCGAGATCGAAAAGCGCACGCTGAACAATCAGGCCGAAATTCTCAAGGGTGTCTACGAGTGCCAGGATAGGTGCCAGCAGCCTCTCTCGAACGGCAAAGAGTGCAAGTATGCCGTCTACGTCAAAGCAGGCCCTAGATCGAAAGACCTTTGCTTGTTGGACAATCTGGTTTACGAACCGTTAGCTGTTAATTACCGTGGCCCGTTTGATTCTTGGCTCTGTATTGGCAGCGAGAAGATGCTGCCCGAAATTGAAGATGCTCCAGATGTAAGTTCAGATAGTCGGTAGACGATCAGGATTAACCCGTGACTGATAATTTCAGACGAATGAGGGGGAGATATAAGCTCTTTGGGCGTAGGATTATCGATCAGTTCTGCACTGAAATCCGACGCTTGGCAACATCAGCACCATCAAGACGAATTTCGAGGTACCGTATTCAAATGGATAATGCATGATAGGGGCAAATGCAGACGGATCTTACTAACATCGAATCTTTCCGACATGGCAGCTCAATTCAACCCGTAATCTGATCGACATACACCGCATTATGCTACGGTGGTTGCAGATAATAGCTGATAAGAATATTAATTCACCGGGAATGTCCCAATCTGTTCGAGGTATCATATTCTTAGATGTAAGAATGAGGGAATCAGGAATGATTACTGCGTCCACTTCGCTAGCATTCAGCCCTTTTGTGAATCGATCTCTACACCATGCCGAGTCAAAGCGGATCTCAAGTCGAGCAAAAACCGATGAACATCACGGCAGCAGGCCTGAGAGTCTTCACATATGCAATCCGAAACAAAGTTAATTATGCAGCTGGCGTGCTCAAAAGATTGTAGGGATCGACAATGCTATCTGATAAGCCTTAGTTATATCCCTTGAGAGGAACCAGACTCCTCGAAAGGAAGTAATTGAAACGACAGTAAATGCTAAGGTATATGTTCCATAGCGCCTAAAATATGCAATCCAAATCCATAAACACAGATTTCATACCCTGTTGGATGTTATGTTCGTAAAAAGCCAGATTATTCGTCAAGAACCCCCCATCCCCAAATTTACAAGAAGAGAGCGCCAACGGCAACGGCACCAACCAGGCCGAGACCTTGAGGCGACACAACACCCGCAGCATTGGGGGTCTGGGAAGTCTGACCGCCCGCCGTGGTCGGGGTGGTACTGCTGCCGCCGCTGTTGCTGCCGGACCCGGATGCGGAGGTCTGAGTCGGGGAAGAGGATCCGCCGCCGACAGCGCCGGGGGTGATGGTTGTGGTGAGTTGGGCCGAGGCAGTGGGGCGGGCCGCTGAGACGGACGGGGTTGTAGACGCGTAGGATGCGGTGGAGGCGTAGGAGGTGCTGGCGAAGCCGCAGGTTCTCAGGATGTCGTTGATGTCTAGGTCGATGTGTGTCAGTATAAAACGAGATTGAATGATGATGTGTTGTGGTTCATCTGCTTACCATCTAGGTCATCTCGGTCACGGACGTTCTGGTCCATGCAGCTTGCGCAGAGTGCGGCATACTGGGAGACGTTGATGCTGTTGTTTGTGCAGACGCACTGGGCCTCAAGACGGTCCTCGGTCAAGTCATCTCTGACCAGGTCGTCATTCACCTCACAGGCTTGGCCGAGGTCGTAGATGGGACGGCAGACGGCCTGGCACTGGGTGGGAATGTCATCGTTGTCGAGCTGGAGGTCGGCCTGGACGAAGGCGACGGCAGCAAGGGACAAGGCGACGCGGTTGAAGTGCATTATGGCTGCTGTAATTGTTTTCTGGGTGACTAAAGTCGATTTTAGGTTGAAACTGGTTGAAATATGTCACAATGAGTTGATATTGTGATTGTTGATGGTGTCGGAACGCCGATGTGAATCCAGGATGTAGAGCGGGACGATGCCGGATATATACTCATGTTTCCGCGAACGACTCTCCTCCCAGGGGCGAGGATCCATGGATCAACAACTCAGAGTCGATCAACGGCAGAATAGACAGACAGACCGCGCACGAAAAGCATGACCGTGTCTTGGGCAGCGACCGCGCATCGTCACTCAGAGGCTTGGGTCTTGGTTGGTCCCTTGGCGCTGGCAGTTCTCCATCTCCGCAGCTTCCACTCAGTTTGCCGCTATTCGAAAGTGGGTTTCGATGAGGGAAGCCAAGAAGCCCCCTAGCTGCCCCAGCCTCAATTGACGACTCAACATCCCGGGCATTATTCGACGGTAGTTTCTCGTTGTGTGACCGATTTGCTAAAGCCCACTGAACAAGTCTAAATTGAACACGCGCTAATTACCTAAAGTCGAGCTCTCGGCAAGTGTTGCTTGGGGGCCTTTCGGTGCTTGTTGGTTGTCAGATTGCTCCATTAGAGCCCTATATCATGTTTGTTCTACCTCCGCCGTCCCCGAATCCCCAGGAAAGCTTAATATGATACGACTAGGGCCCCTTGTGAGCAGGTGAACAGTCACAATTTGCCGACTCTAAGATGGATAAGTGTCGCGTGCTACAACTGACAGCATAATGACTACGGACATGACCGCTTAGGCAAGGTCAATGCCGGCCGACAGCCGGGCGAGCAGCCAAGCACCCCCAAACACCTGAAGTGGCGCTATAATAACCAACCAACAAAATGCCAGAGGTAAATGCGTATCACGGGTGCAAGACAGTTGCGTTACTTTTGTGCGTCTCGTTAGCACATATAGTACCATTTGCCAAGGTGAAAAACATGACTGTCTACGCGTATGCTTAGCCTTCTCGATATGAGGCATGCGAAGCAAGACCCATTACTAAACTTGGACATCTCGCCTCTTCCAGAAGCTGGCAGCCGTGGATCTTGCCAAGACCCAATGCCCCGTCGATTAAATCTTCGCTATTTTAATTATCTGCCAATTTAATGTACTTTAGTTACTCGTAGAGAGGTAAAGTAATCGCTACAAACCGTACGTAAAAGTTCAAGATCAGAAAAGTTCGCCGTCGGCACATCCCCGCCAAGCACAGCAGAGCCACGGCGACACGCACCAGCCCGCCTCCCAGGCTCGTGCAACCATAGAAAACATGCATTCCGACAGGCGTTCCGTAAGGGTTTCTTTCCGACTGGATCACCGACCTAACGCTGCCCAAGGATCCCAAGAAAAAGATCCGAAGATGAGCTGTCCTGTTTCACATCTCTACTTGGCGCATAGTGCCGGAGAGGGAGAGCCTTGTACATAGTCAGTCCAGTACTTTGTTGTTTACGGTTCGTCCAGTCATGTTCTCAGAGCTTGGAGGGGGTGTTCCCTGCCAGATACATCAGCTTACCACTCAGTGCCCCAAAATGACGCTGGGCTGCGGATGATCGACACCGCGTCCTGCCACTGGGATCAGCATCGGCGCAGAAATTTGACCACTAACGGAGGCTTTTATCTTGGGATGGTGATTGTTCACTGGATGTTAGTCTCCGCCAGCCTTCGTCAAATCCACGCAACTCTTGACGCTATCCCCAGCTTTTCTTGCAGCTTCATGGGTAATTCTATTCGCAGAGAGACAGTTGAAGCAGCTTCGAAGCGGGGTAGCTCTACGTTTTCCCAAAAAGGCTCTAAAACTTCGCGGTGTCTCCATGTCTAGGCTAGCTGAGAGGAGGTGCGGGTACTGTGATGCTAAATTTAGGGCCTCACGATGCGCTTGCATCTTGGCACTCTGTCAAAAGAAATTTCAACCGACAAACAAAATTCGACACAAGGTCCAATGGAAATTTGAGGTCAAAAAAGCTTCAAACTCTGATTATGATCGAACGAACTTTTGGGCTTCTAGAAGCTTAATCGCAGCGAAAGAAACTACCGTGAGCTACTTTGTCCGAATAATTGTCGTCTGTTTGCTGATCTCTCCATGGGGTCCACGCAATATGCCAAGACATTACTGAAGCTTCGCCTCGCTGGAAAAGACGGGCGAAGGAGAAGAAAGCGAATCGAGTTGGATACAACAATCAGAATTGCGTAAAAGCCTCAATTTGGTATGACAGGAATAGACTCAGAGTGGGGACATCCGACTTGTACCTGTCCGGAAGCCAGACCGCAACTTCACGATCTATATTCGTCTGGTTGGGCTGGTCATGGAGTTGTTCTCTTGACCGTTTAGCTGGCTTGATTGAGCCCGATTGCTTGAAAGGTCTGCGTCGAGATCTGCGCATCGTCTACCAATACAGGGAAGTCCCAGCTCATCAAGGTTAAGAAGATTGGTCGTCATCTCGTGATCATCATACGCGTACGAGGTAGAGGCTTAGTACAGTTTGCAAGACATAAGTTTAAGTAGTGAGAAAATTGGAAGCTAAATCTAGCAGTGTCTGCTTCCTCATGATGTCCCGGATACTGTGTTGATCGAGTAGGTAACCTGGGAAAACCGGATAGAGCAGAAACAGCAACATCGCCTGACTCAATGCGGGCTGGATAGGATACATTGAAGTTACCTGTTGTCGCTCCAGTCAAGCATGCCATCACAAAAGCCGAGTTACCATGTCACGAGATTTCTCGGTACGACCTGGATCATTTGAGTTTCTGAGATATAAAAAAGTCTGTTTCATCAATGTCGAATGGATACATCACTTGAGGGAAGCATCAAGTTTTACCATCGAAGACAAGCGGATTAAAATTTTAATAGACTGGAAGTTGCGGAATCGTGTACGCGCTGCTTTTCAGCAATGCTAGAACACGATTCCATTCCTGGAGAAGACGGTGTGCAGTGATTGCTGACGTTTGCCCATCGTAATCCTATAAGCAGAATGCCGTCAGGAAGGAGATCTTTCTTGATGTCTACAAGCTTTACAGAGGAAATGACTACAGGTACTTCTGAGGAAACCTTGACACCCGCGCTTCTTCATGGTGATCTTACAACCCATGGCATATCAGTCAAAGTGACTCTTGAGAGACTTCTCTCTTTCGCCGCTTGGAAGTGGTAAAACTTTTGCCTTAGTAGGACGTTTGCTCAGACGGGAGTTGAGAGATATGCGTCACGCAAGTAGTTTTATTGCTTTAGCTACTATCAACACTCGGTCAACAACGATGAGATGATAGTTGTCTGATAGGGATTAAGCTTACAGTTCGTTCAAAACGAATCACTATCACTGCAAAAAGCCAAGCTGCCATTGTCGTAGTCTGTAGATAAGCCCACGTATGCAGGCCACAGGACCTTCCGCCATAATTACTAGAAGTTAGTAATTGGGCCAAGAACTGAACCTGATGAACTGTCATATCGAGTGCTAGATAAAGTCAAAATTTACCTCTCCAGTTTTCTCCAGTGCTGATCCATTTAGCACCTTTTATTAGGTACAGCACTTAGAAATACCACGGCTTTGATACATGATAACTTAGATTAATACGCGAGTTATACTACCCCTTATGACTAAAACGTATCTGCAAACCAGTATAACATTATCCAGCACTCGATAGGATAGTACCCAGAGGATATACACGCACTTTAAGGCTCTTGACTCGTAGCTCATTCATGGTCAACTTATTCAAGCCGCGTCTCATCACCATGGATGCCTTTGCCTTTGAATTGTCAAGCTCAACAGAATTTGAGTCGCAAAGATCGGTGGCAGATCATGGGGGTAGCAACTTGTTTGTTAAGTGTCATTTGCATAAATTCACTCAATATCATCGACCAACTGAGTTTTGTGTGAATATCTCTTGGCCTGTATTCTGATTCAAATCTATAAGATGATGGTATCAATGATAGATTGATTTTATATGTCATTTGACGGAACGCTAAATACTCTCTCAAATCGCAACTATGAACAAATATGTCGCTTCTCGTTTGTAGAAAATTGAAGTCGTAAAATGTACTTTACAGTACTGTCGAGATCCCACCTATCTCAACTGCTTGGCTCAGAAATTTCAGCCCGACCATGAAGCTTGCGGGCTGCTCGACTGTCTGGGGTTGGTGGAGGTTGGCGACATGGGCTCTTCAGGTTGACCGGATTGTAGATGAGCTACCAGAGAGCCCATCCGAGCACCTGTGTTGACTGTTCAGATTAAAAAACTGAATTGTCTGTTTCTCATGAATCTCTCTCTGAATTCAGTCAAAAACCACGACAACTTTGTTCGCTTTGCCTGATTTGGCCAACTCCAACGCATCTATCGCCTGGTCAAACGGGATTTGATCACTGACGATCTCCGCGTACTTGTCCCAGTTGTCGACGATATCATCTGTGACCTCGAAAATCTCTGTCGGATATCCCACGCTGAAAACAATCGTCAATTCCGTCGAAATCAACTGTGCAAAGTTTAACTCCGTTGGCTTTCTGTGGACTCCTACCACACCAAATGTGGCGCCTCGCTTCGCCATCTTGCACACCTGCGCAGGGACCGGCGGTGCGCCCGCCGCGTCCAGAAAGATATCGGTACCAGGACGAGTGCCTCGGTTTTGTGCCGTCGCTCCGTCTCCTTGCAACTCGACCAACTTTGCCGCCAGATCTTCAGCTTCAGCTGAGTTGACGACAGCATCGGCGCCGACTTTGAGAGCCTTTTCGAGCCTCGCGTTGACCACGTCCACGACGACAATGTGGCTCGCCCCCTTTCTGCGATACCCCAAGACCGCGCCCAGACCGATGGGCCCCGCGCCAAAAACCACAACCTTGCAGCCCGGTTTCGGGCTCGTCCTGTTTACCGCGTGCAGGGCGACCGCCATGGGCTCGTTTAGTGCCGCAATGTGCCAGGGTATGCTCTTCGGAATCTTCTTCAGGTGCTTCCGTGGCTCGTAGTTGTAGATGACGACGTATTCGCACAGCGCA